ACATGGGCTTCCAGGTAGGTGGAAATATCACACATACTTCTCAAAGCAGCAAAGCAGTGTTCCTGCCTGCAGACAGGAGCTGGCTATCAGATACTCTTCCAGAGCAAAATCAGTTAGTAAGTTCTGGCCAGTTCAGTAATCCTCTGGAAGAGGAAACTAGAGAAGAAAATTGTCTTCTTTTGGATAAAATCATCTTTGTTTTCCTTCAGAAACATTAGTCATTGGGTGAACAGTGGAACTGGTTCTAACCCTGGTTTAAGCAGCTTAAACTGAACCCTCGAGTTCAGTGACCACAGATGGCTCACACACGTTAGGAATCAGCCACACCCACAAGAGATGTGGAAGAGAGATTTCACGTCCAAAAGAGAGCCACAGTGCATGTCATCCTCACTCAATTAAGAATTAAGCCCACATAACTTCTTATCCAAAATGCATGCCCAATATACCTAACGAGAGTTTCTGACCTTCCCATTAAAAATTTCAGTCATCAAATAGTGATTATCAAACCACCACTTTTGCTAACACTTTTCCCCCAAATTTCAGGAAACTCTGCTCTTCAGTTTATAACATAATTCTCAGTCATCTTCATTCATAAATCAGTGCTCACAAGAGGTTTATTTATAAACAAATGTGGAAGATCCCAAAAAATTGATAAAAATTAATAAAAAATAATAACCACTAGAAGTGGTTGAGCTCAAAGAAAGATCTGACATTTTATTCACAGTGATTTCTTCCTAACGAGCACAGGAACCACCCTGGAAAACATTAGCCAAAAACAAAGCTATGAAATATCAGCTCTTAAGTTAGAGGTGCCACATATCAAACAAGGCCACCCACCTAAGGTTGCATTGATGTTTTCCTGTTTTAAGTGTAAGGCTTACATTGAGAGTTCTCTCACTATGATTTTCCAGAAGGTAAATTGTGATACACTGAGGATGTTATCTTAAGTGAACGAACAACATGTCACTTTAATGTGATAGGATTATCCAATTTTAGTGATTGTTCTCCACGTAAAGCATGCAGTCTATAAAGTGGTTTAAAAAAATAAGTGGCTTCCACTCATGAATTTCTTTTCCTTAATACCTAAGACCCAGTAGACCTTTTAGATGGATATATCCCATTTCTTTTCAACTCAGCCAATCTACCATAGCCTTGAGCAGAGCCCATAAATCCAGTTATAATTTATTAAAGATTTTCAGGGCACTATGTTCAGCCGGTTCACATGACAGCACGCTTTGTTAAAAAATGGTCCCATCACTGAACACAAGAAAACACAAGTCCAAGCCACAATAGCTTTAGAGTGACTGAATTTCAATGTTTATGGACTAGAATCCCAAGTACATCTCGGTGCTGACAGTCCAGATCTCTTTGCATTTAGCCACAACTGATGGAATGTATAGCATGCAGTTCTCAAGAGACAGGTGAACAAAACCGTGTAAACAATTTTTCTTACACTCAAAGCATTCACGACTTCTAAGCCAAAATTAAAAATAATAAACACTCAGGTTTTCTATATAATTGCAATGTCTCCTAGTTTTTGCTGCCCCCTCCCCAACATCTTGAGTCCTTTTAGGAAGAAATGCTTCTTGAGCACAGCATGGGGAGCAGTCCCACCGTTACTGGTTGTTTCTAATCTATGGGTATTGTTTTACCCACAGCCAGCGAAGGAGAGAGGAATGATGCCTGGATTTCCTTAAGGGAGTAGAAAAGGAAACTAAAATCACACAGTACACTTCCAGCAAGTGTCGCCCAGGGCCTACAAATAAATTGGAAGATTGGCTGCTAGGTCTGAATGTTTCTTCTCAAAATCCATGGGATTAAAAACTCAGTTTTCATTACAACAATGGTGCCATTAGCTCCCCACCCTGGATATCTCTACCCTTTACCATCCATGTGAGCCAACAGCAAGAAAGCGTTAGTAGATGCTGACACCTTGATGCTGGATTTCTTAGCTTCCTGAATTATGATACATGTTTTTATTTTTAAAATTACCTGATTTCTCATATTCTGCTATAGAAAGGCCAACTAGACTAAAAAGGTGCCCAAATAGAAAAGAATCACTATATAGGTTTTTAAAAATGTAATCCTCAGTGATCCTCTTACTGTGCCAGATCAAGTCTGGACTCTGGATGTGGCTATTAATGATAGTTATGCTGCAATATGAATGTATTTAATACTGCTGACCTGTCCACTTAAAAATGGTAAAAAATGGGTATAATTTTTACATCATGGGTTATGGAAATAACTTACAGGCTTTAGGAGTTGAATTTAGGTATCTCTACTTAAAAGAATTATAAATTTGTTTTTAGGTTAAATAGAACAATAATTATTTTGTGCTGTGAAACATATAAAGTCAAATATAACAATGACACATAAAGAAAACATCTCTCAAAATTTGGGCTCAAGACAAGATGTAGGGAGTCCCCTGACATCTCCCACAGCCTGGGGACTTTCTACTTAAAGTGCCACCACTAGAGACCACTGAACCTCCACCTTACAGATCTGGTGCTGAAACATGACAGATCACTGACTCGGTTGCTCTGAAAATGAGGCACAGCCTTCCCAAGATGGAAAATCATCCCTCCTCATGTCAGTCTTCAGGGAAGTTTGCAGATCTACATTGATGCCCACCACTGGAACTTCAGGCTTTCTCTGCAGGGCCAACTCATTACTGGACTATCTGAGCAGAAGCTGCTAGAGGCATGCAATAGTACAGCTGGCCTATCTCTCCTCATAGCCTCCCATTCAAGGGCTTGGAGGACGCTTCCTTGTAGTCCCCAAGTATATTGATCATGTTTCCCAAAACAAACTAACAGGATAGGAAAAAACACAGCATTGGTAGCTAAAATAGCACTTTCAGAGGCCTGGAAAAGGAGCTGGAGGCGTTAGGGTAGGAAGAGGATGAAGTAAGGATAACAAGTGTGAATACCTGATAAGGTTTGTAAGCCCCACAAAGCTGCAGCTGGGATGTGGTTATCTTAACCCGAGTACAGTGCTCCACGGAGCTCTTTATTACCTGCACTTTGATTTCTTTACACTATGTGATTTTTGCGTATCTAATCACTGAACTTTAAAGCCCCATATGGATACTCACTGATGTAGCTCAACCACAATAGATACTCCCTCCAAAGAATAGTTCTAGCATTTGTAAGTAAAGATAAACCCTTATTTCTTAATAATTCCTACAGAATTACATGCTATTACCTACCCTTGGATTACCACTTTTTTTTTCCCTTTCTTTTTCTTTCTCTTTTTGTTTTTGCATTTTTCCAAACAGAGTGTCTCACACTGTTGCTATGTCCTTCAGGTGGGCCTCAAACTCACTAGGTAGCCCAGGCTGACCTTGAACTCACGGTGATACTCCTGCCTCAGTCTCCTAAGTGCTGGATTACAGGCATTTACCACCACATCCAGCTAGATAACCACTCTTTAAAGGAGGCAGCAAGTCCTCCACAGGGAAAACAGTACTTCACATATCTATTCCTACTGTGGTCGTACATTATTGGTGGTGACATGGTAACCTAGGTGCTTTGGGACTTTAATAAGTATAGGACTTGGTAAACTCTCTCCTTTAATTTAAGATACCATGAGGTCAATACCATTATTTTCAGTTTAGAGCTGAGGAAATCAGAGCTCATAATATTCAATAACTTGACAAGAATCACATTGTTAAGAAACGGTATTCTTAACATTGATAATGTGGATCGAACTAAGATCTGTGTATCTGTCAGATCCCAGAAAAAGAAAAAAAAACCCTCCTAATCTTAATCATCATGGTTTAATAAAGCTGTATCTTAGTGGAACCAATAAAGTTATGTGAGCTTTACACTTTGAGTGCTTCCCTCAAGGGGTACCTAGACAGAACTGGATGTTAAAAAAAAAAAAAACATAAACCTCATCCTTTAGGCAAAAATGGATGCAAAAACTTGCAGAAAACTTCCATAATACCCACTCTGACAGGTGGTAGCCTCTCCCATCAGGAGAGAATGAAAATTGTGCTCCCAAATAATAAGTGAATTCCCGTATCTTCAATATGGGCCCCAGAAGCCTCCTTCAAATAATCGCTGTTTACACAGAGTAGAGAATGTGCAGGAGTGACAGACCCGGGTTGAAATTTGAATTCTAGTTGGTCAAGTTACTTACCTCTCTACATCTTAGGTTCCTCATCCATATAATGGACATTGCAATAATATAAAAAGTCTTAGTTCTCTTTAATCTTAGCATGTCATTGTGGATTTAGTTTCCACTTATCTCGTAGCTAAAGATGTTGAGGATTCTTACTTGCCACTGGTGGGTCCTCCCTGGCAAACTGGCAAATATTACCCATTTTTTAAAAATTGGATTGTTTTCTTCTTAGTGTTGGCTTTTGAATTCTAAAAGTAAATTCTGGATATAACCGAGCATCAGTGAGGATAGAAAACTAGGGCTCTCATCTAGTGTCAGTGGAAACAGAAAATTGTAGGGCCACTTTCAAACTGCTTGGCAGTTGATGAAAAAGTAAAACAGCGACTTACAGGACAGGCAGGCCATTCTACTGCGGGGTTGTACTCAAGAGAAATGAAAACATATGTCCAAAAATAAACACTTGCAGGTAAATATTCATAGCAACTTTATTCATAATAGCCTCAAACTAGAAATGATGCTGATGTCATCAACTACTAAATGGATAAACTATAGAATAGCCATCCAAAGGCATGCGATGACCTATAGAAAGCAGTAAGGTACTGATAAGTCTCAATTATGCTGAATGAAAAAGTCAGAAAAATTATATGACCCCATTTATATAAAATTCTACAAGTGAAAATTAATCCACAATGACAGAAACAGATCAGATGATGCCTGGGGACAGAAAGAGGACACAGGATAGGGAGAGAAAGAAGACAAAGGAGCAAAAGAAAACCATCAGAGATGATGGACATCTTCATCTTCTTCATAATGGCGATAGCTTTCTGGTATGTATATACATATGTCAAAATATAGCAAATGATATTCTTTAGAAATGTGGGGGGTTTTCATTTTTTATTTTAAAGATAATAAAATTCAACAAATCAAAACAGAACAAAGCCAATCAACAAAGCAGCAAAATTGGTACAGAACTTCAAAGCAGGATTTTAGGAAAACAACAGTAGCTACCCATAGTCTCTATCTTGTTATCTTCACAATAGTTGTCCATTCCATCAAGAATAGCAAAATCAAACCAAAAACGAAACAATAAAACCAATCAAAACAGAATATTGAATTGAAGCAAAACAATCAGAACAAAGCAAAAGAGTGAGAACAATACTGGATTTCAACGACAGACAGAAGGAAATCTCCCATATTTGCTATATTGCATACTGTCTGCTGGCCCCAGGCCTGCAAAATCAACCAAACAACACAAGCATTTAGTTGTTTTTGTACCTTAGTTGCTATCAACTCAGCCTGTGCTCTGAACCAGCCAGTTGCTTACAGGGAGGGGGATTTTGCGGTTGATTTTCAGCCTGCACACTGGTAGGCTCATGAGGGGCACTGAGTTTTCTCTTTCTGGACCCCACATGGCTTGCAAGGCTTTACCAGAAAGGCTGGCTAGTTGCCTCATTGTTTGGCTCCTCCCAGTCTCAGCATGGCCAACTCTAAATATGTGTTTATTATCTGTCAATGACCCTTAAAGTCTTAAAATTTTATTACTTGTAAACATTCTCTTGGCCTGAAAATTGCTCCTGATACAGAAAACTTCCCAGTAGTTAGGCTTGTAATACATGGTCCTGCTGCATTCTTGATCACGATGACCCATTTGATATCAGGCCACTAAATGAAGAGAAATGAAAAGGTCAACATTCTAGAGAAAAGGTCCATTGTGCTCTGCACCTGAGATCCCAGGGGGCCCCTGGTCTGGTCCATCCAAAAGCTGGTTGTTTTAACTTACATTTTAAGATCTGAATCAATAAATTCTAGCCAGAATGTTTTTTGGAACCTGGGGAAAAATGAAATTTATAGTTAATTCATTTCATTATTATTTCTTATGCTTTCTATTACAAATGGCCAATATCTATACTTTAAAAAAAAATACCATGTTCAACCAGGTCGATGGGTCACTCATCCATCCATCCTTCACTGAATAGGTTTTTATCCAATGGTGCAGCATCATGTGACAGGCACTGTACAGATTCACATTTTATTCAAATGACATAAAAGCCTGTATAGCAGTCTCATGTTTATAGTCGAGAAAGCTCAGACTCAGGGGTTTGGTTACTTACTTAAAATCAAAACCTTTCTGTAGATACTGGATCCAGATTTAAGCCCAGGACTGTCTAACTCTAGAAGCCATACTTACCCATTATCCACATCTGTGCTTTGCTAGAAGTAAGCCTTTCCATCGGCACTGAGCCAGGATCCAGTCATGGCGGCTTGTGGCTCGGGAGCCTGGGATCCCAGAGGCTTCCTTGGTTCTGCCTCATAGCTAACAGGAGAATCTGCTGACTGCAGCTCAAGCGCATGGCCCTCCAGGAATGGGTCCCAGGAAACAATGAATTATCTACGCTGGTGGGCAGGGACCACCAGTGTGTTGACATCTGTTACCTAGTAATGACTTTTCATTGTAACAAAGGAGAGCACAATCATGAAAATAATTACAAATCAAAAGATAATGGGGCTGCCTTGTCTTCCCAAGAGTGGAATGAGCACCAATGCAAAGCTTGAGCTTCAAGTCCCTTTCACATGGATGCACTGCAAACCATTTCAGTTTTACTGGTTCAGGTTAAAAAGACCTCATAAAATGTTCTTTTCCTTAGGAAAATGAGTCTCCAGAGCATGGCATTTTCATATTTTATTTTAGAGATTTCAGGGTAGTTTGGTGTGTTACTCTTGAATAGAAAATAAAATGAAAGGAAAAAATCCTTGAATCTTTACCTAGATATCCTTGTAATCTAATTATAGAAATAAGAAAACTGCCCAAAACTCATGTGTACTGAAAATCACTACAGTGTCCTTTATAAGAAGAAAAAGTTAAAGCAAGCATTAAATAATCTGATAATGTCAACCAAACATATGCATATACACAAACAAAAAATATACATACTTTAAAAGTATTTTCGTTTTTTCTTTTTCTTTTTTTTTTTTTTTTTTTTTTTTTTTTGTCTTTTTCGTTTTTACTGGTACCGGGGATCAAACTCATGACTGCCTGCTTGCAAGGCAGGTACTTATGCTGCTGAGCTAAATCCCCAGCCCATTAAAAGTATTTTCAAATACTACACCACATGGGGAATATTTGTGATTTCTAAATAATCAAAAATAGGGTACAGAAACAGTTAAGCACCCAGCGCTCAGGAGGCTGAGGCCAGAGGATCACTGCAAGTCTAAGGTCAGCCTGGGCTACAAGGTGAGTTCAAGCCAACCTGAATTGCATAGCAAAGCCCCGTCTCAAAAAAAAAAAAAAAAAATTGTTAAGCAGTCTGATACTAAAATGTGCATGGTGTTTATGAATGTGTGTTAGTGTGGGAATGCATATGTGCGGGGATGTTGTACCCAGGACCTCATGCATGCTAGGAAAGCCTGTTCCTAAACATTACCTATAGACAAGTACAGGTAAAATGTTTTCCCTCTCATCTACATATTTTATCCATTATTAAAATATATATGTTAAAAGTAATATAATAAAAGACACATAAAGTGAAAAAACTTCTAAAATCTAAATAAAATCTCTAGTCAATAATAATATACCTATATTAATACCTTAGTTTTAATATGCTGTCACTATGTAAGATGTTAATGTCACAGTAGGCTGAGTGAAAAGTATATGGGAATTCTATTCTGTCATTGCAACTTTTCTATAAATGAAAAATTATTTTTTGAAATAAAGTTATTTTGGAAATGCATAAATGGTAAGCCACAGTATGAATCATAGTAGGAGAAATGTTATTCTTCATTATCTGTTAGGGTTGCAATAATCTAACACACTTAAGTCATTTTATTTCCTCCATGTATCTTATTCTTACATCTAACTTGTAACTTCTTATGATCTAGAGCTCATCTTCCAAATAGCATGTGACCCCGCATTAGGCTAAGAATATACCAGCAAGACTCCAAGGCTCATTGATTGTTGACTTGTCTTGAAAAAGAAGACACTGAGACACCGAAAGATTCACTATTATGCTGCTTTTCTCCTTTCTTCAAGAGCTTATAAATAATTTCCATGTGTATTTTAGGTGAATGATAGAAAGTATTAATAAGTTAATTCATTTGAATGACATGAAATTGCATTTTTAGGCCAAAGATGTTTAGTATTTGTGTTTCATATGGATCAGCTATGTAATAAGCATTTTATGTCTATCAAGAGAGAACTTCTGAAGTAATACCTAACAAATATCAATGTAGGCTTCACTGCAATTACTATTTCCATGAGGTCCTTTCCCATAGTTTGGCACCCTGCACTCTTGACTACGAGCATTTACTTTTTCCTCCAAAGTTATACAAACAACAAAATTCTTCCCAGAAATTTGAAACCAGTTTTTCAAATGTCAGTTCAAAAAATCTCATATTATGGCATACTTAGTTGTCTTGACTGGTTGTGAAGTATATGATAAGTAATTCATCACTACCAAAAAAAGAGAAAAAAACAAAAATTCATAGTTGGTTTCCATTTGACTTGTAATATAAATTAGAAATAGATTCAGAGTGACTCCAGTAAAGCCATACACTCACTTACACCCTGGGAGAACTTACTGAGTGGGGAAGACTGAGGTGCAGCTTCCAGGGCTCTGGGACACATGCGCTCACATGTTCAACAGCACCCTTCAGCAGAGCACTGGCAGGGGGCCGCTGCGCACCAAGAAGGCTAAGGGCTCTGGGAGAGAGGCCTGGGAACTCAGAACACAAGAGTCCAACCGCACGGAAGAAGCTTATTAGAAAGAGAATACAACCCAGCATCTGAAAGGATATCTGTCAGGCTTCTGGGCACAGACATTTAAAACAGTGTTTTATATACTCTTTAAAATTAAATAAATCCATAATATAAATAAAGAGCAAAATAAAAGATGGTAAGAGGAAGGAGATGGGTCTTTCTCAAATGGGAAGATAATCAAAAGATAGAGGAAAAGGTAGGGTGAGGCAGGAGGGGGATGAGAAAAGAATTGAGGTGTGTTATATACACGCAGCAATGTCCTACAACAAATTGGTACTGTAAACATGTACTAATCAAAAATTAAAAATTAAAGAGTGTGTTTTTCCAAATGCAATCTTATAATTTATTCTAGAACGTAGAAATTTTTGAGTGCTTACATTGTGCCAGGAAGTGCACTGTTATTGCAATTAATAAAACAGATTTTGTACCTATGCACAAGACATCAGTTTTAGAGACAAACAATAAATTAAGTGAACACTAAAAATGAGTCATAAAGGGTACAAAGTGCACGAAATAAACAGGACAATGGGTAAGGAGATTGGGGAAGGATTCTTTGACGCAGCTGCATTTAACAGAGAGACCTGGTATTTACCTAAGTAGAGAGTTTTCTTTTGTCAACTTCCACACTCTCCTTGTAGAATATGCATGTTTCTGATTCATCAGAGAGACATGGAGGTATTTGGAACTGTCAAGCGGATTTCACTAAAAGTTGGAGATGTCTGACATAGAAGCAAAAGGTCCCATCATCACAATTATATCATTTCGCGGAAGACAGCCGTCATCTACATATCAGGCAACGGGGCCCAGGGCAGCACTTTCCTCCACACGTTCCTGTGCCTCCAGCCTCACCAACAGCACTGCGGTCTGATCACTCGTCACATCCCCGTATCATCCACCATTAGCATAAATCAAAGTTTCACGCTTGTAATTTATGTTTTAGCACTTAGACAATGCCTTGCTAGTTATTTTAAATAGATAAATCAAATCAAAATTTTGTTAATAAAATATTAGAAATGTCATAAGATCCCTGATTTATGTAACGATGTCTAGCATTTCTTGATCTTCATTTATTTCAAGTGTTTAGGAAGAAAAATGGTTTGCTGGCTTGTCCTGCTCTTATTTTTATTCCTTCATTTAGGAGATTGCATCTCAGCTCCAAAATCATTTTTAATAATGAGATATGCAATTTTTAACTGTTAATTTTTTCAAAGAATAGACATGATTAAGATTAATTCATGTAGTTCCAGATATATTTGAATAATGGATTAGTCTGCAGAGCACATCTGATTCATGTCCGATAGTCAAGCTTTTATATTTTAACTCCATCCATACATATAGAAATGTACTCTCTTATTTACTTAAAAGCCAGAACAGCCTGAGCAATAATGCAGGTTGAACACTGCTAGCAAGACCATAGCAATCTCCCAGTTTACAGATTGTAGACTTTCTCAGGAAGGACTGGAGTACACAATTTAAGATGGTAAACAGAGAAAATTGCACGTGACTACACAGAGGTTCCTGCCACAGGTAGAAAGAAAGCCAGAAGATAAAGATTCAGTGCACAAAAAACACTGAAACAAAAGGATGAAGCTCTGGATAAGCACCTGGGAGAGTAGAAGGGACAGTTTGCTCTTCCAGCGAAGAGCTATCTACATGAAGTCTCAAGTCAGAAACAGATTCTCAACTGTAGGGACGAAATTATTCAAATCTTGTACCTAGAAAGTCTGAGGAGCAACAGGATTGTGGCTGAAGTGGGAAACATCACCTTCTACATCTGTATGTAAATCATTCTCACCCTCCATGATTGCTGTAAGTATATGTATTATAGGTGTATGCACATACGTATAATACACATTAAATGCTGGTGGAAACTCAGGTAAAACATGTAATGGAGCTGGCATTTTAGGGTGGAGAGCATCCTGTTAAAAGAGCTTTAACAGGGGGCTGGGGATTTAGCTCAGCGGCATAAGCGCCTGCCTTGCAAGCAGGCTGTCATGAGTTCAATCCCCGGTACCCATAAAAAGGAAAAAGACAAAAAAAAAAAAAGAGCTTTAACATTTCAAATATTTTGGTATTTAAACAATAATTGTATTCAGAGACAAAGCTGAAGATCAAACTAAGATTTGTTACAAAATTAAAAATGAACCATGAAAGTTTAAAAACTGCAAGTGAAAATTAGTTTAATAGTTCCTCAGGCAGATGTTTGCCATTCTTGCACAATTCTGACCAAATTTAACAAAACAGAAATACGGGGAAAAACTTAACTAGACTTAGCAGGTAAGTCATTTGATCTAGAAAAATCTCAGGATCTTTAGTTCCTGTACAAGGAAAATTATTAAAGAATATGGCTAGTCTAATATACTATTCCTCCTAACCTAGGTTTTCTTACTCCTAGAAAAATACAGAACAAGAATATGTGTAGACATCTTGAGAACTGCTGTAGCTCTTTATATAAACACAGAGCCAAAATATCACCCTCCTTTTAATCTCTTTTTTATTATTATTCAAAATGAAAAGACAGAAGGTGTAGTGTCTTCTCTCATTTATGACAGTTTTCCAATACTGTGTCACATGCATCGCTTGTACTACATTTACTCTATTACCTATACTTGGTCTGCACACGTTATAGAACCATCAAAAACAACAAGAACCTGATAACAAAAGAAACAATGCTACAAACAGTGTCAGTTTACAAACTTATAAAAATTTTTTTAAAAAAAGAACCGCTTTCTATGCCCAAAGAGGCATACCTGGGGACAGGTATAAACAAAAAACATGATTCTCAGTAACAGATGAGAATGGCAAAATCCTTTCTTAAGAGAAATAAAGAAAAATGATTAACAGTCACACTTAAATTGGGCCAAGATCAAAGGGTAAAATAATTTGAATCAAGGACATAGAACTAGACAATTGAATGTTAAGACTTTTTTCCATTTTCAAGGGCTCATTTTCTGTAACTGATCTTCCAGTGATGATGCCCATACCATGCACTGGTAATAGATAAAACAAATGAATGACCAGAAGTTAAAAGAAAGAGGAAAGTCTCTGTAATCCTACAGCTCAAAGTCAAAATTCAAAGTCTCTATTACAGACTCTGTCTAATGAGATAAAAGAGGAAATTTGATACTTGAATCTAGTCCCAAAAGAAAGGTTACCCTGTTAAATAAAGCACTTCACAGCTCTCCTCTCTCTGAAGCTGTCCTGAGGCACCATCTCCGTCCACGTTCTCATTAACACAATCTCAGAACTGTCTCTGTCGTATATTTGAAAAAATAATGGAACCTGAATTTAACACTTGCAGTTTTAAAGCAGGCAGAGGAGGCTGCCGAGAGATCTTCCATCTTCCTGCCTAGGGACCGTAGGACTTTACCAACATAATGTGACAATGCTGTGACTTTGCAGTCAGGCAAAGCAGACATAGAAGATCTAACTTGCACAGTGATCTAAAGGGAAAGCTGTGTGAATTGTACTTTCCAGGACTCAGAGGGAAATGAAAACTGCCCTACTTCTCTTAATTCCTGGGTCATTCTGGAATCCCTTTGCTTTGTTGATGGGACACTTGGGATTTGTGGCCATGAAGAGAAGCCTCGACCACCACCTAGAACACAAGTAGGCACAGGTCACAGGGCTGAGGAGGGCGCCTTATCCCCTGCTCCAGTGGTGGCTTCCTTGGGAACCTCTGTGATGGAATCAGACTCATTCGACCTCAGTGATTTAAAACGGCCTTCCACATTTATACTCCAAAAAGGGAGACTTCATTTAAACTGCCCTGAACTAAGAGTATAAAAGCAAAATCCAGGTGTGTGTTTCAGTCATGATCTGCAAAGACAGTAATACCAGTGAACTGAAACACACTGAAGACCAAGGAGTATAAAATAGTATTTTACTAGGCTGGGGACCAGGGAGCATGACAGTTGTCCCATGGTCTGAAGGCTGGTGTGACCTTGCTTTAGGAACAGAAAAGTATGTGAAAGGCTGCATGTGTTGACAAAGCTCATAATCGCAGCATTCCTGAGGCAGGATAACATCTGCTGCGGACTGTCTAAACAATACAGGCACATTGATGGAGAAGGATTTGCTCCCCATTAAATTGTTCCCCATTTACCATAGTTGCTATTCCATACTGTTCCCCTACCCCATGCCCTTCTCACTTGCTAATAAAAGTAACTCTGATAACTCTGGTGAAAAACATAGTTATTAAAATGACAACACGAGAGACAATAACAAAGAATGCTTAAAGAATCAGTATTTTCAGAATGTGTACCTATTATACTTTTTAAAATATGTGTGAATATAAAAAGTAGAAGAGAATACAAGAAAAAATAAAATAATATGTCTTAAAGTGTGGTGAACTGTTTATCAGTTATATAGTATTGTTTCTAAAAAAAAAGGTTACACAAACAAAAAAGGTTATACAAAGAATGGATAAGGACCTATATATGCTATATATAACATGATACGTGGAAATCACACTAGCCTAAAGCTTCAGTCAGACAGTTTGGGCAAGTTACTTAGACAATCTGAGAATACTTCTTCATCTCTAAAATTAATGCATCTACCTTTCAAGAATAGCTCGAAGGGTTAGACTTATAAGCAAACAGCTACATAAGTAAATGCCTCTCACATACATCGCATGGAGAAAACATTCAACAAATAATCCTTAGCACTACGTAGTAAAGGTGGGAGAGTTCTGAAAAAATACATGGAGGTGAATTGGTGCTAGCAAAAAGGCCTCAGAGCTTTACAGCAGCATAGCTTTCACCCCAAAATTCAGACAGGGCAAAATGCCTTAGAAGACTTTAAATTCTTGCTGGGGCCAAATGGAGACGAGGTGGGCTGGAGAGGACAGAGACTTGCAAGGACTCCTCCCCAGTGGGCAGTGGGGAGGTGAAAAAGACCACACCATATCTGAACCACTGTGAAGCTGCAGGCAAAAGCTGCAAGCCTGGAGGAAGAGAGTGAGAAGCACAAAATAGGGAGACTAGAAAAAGCATCTAGAGGATTCCAAATCGGAACAGGGCATCAGGAAAGACATGTACCAGCTCCTCACAATAAATGTAATTGTACGTACTGCACAGAAGTGTTTAAAAATATGGGTAAATTCATGTTTTAAAAAAGTGAACAGGGTGCCAGGAATGTTCAAGTACTTTGTATGGGGCTAGTGAGATCGGGCTTTCTGGCAGTGCCAGGCAGAACCTAACAGGATCATGCCGATAGGTGATACGGTTTCAGGACCAAATGACCTGAAATTCCTGTAAGAGTACCTCAGCCCGTCTCTTCAATGTGATGGGAAAACTAGGTCCCGAAAAGCAAAAGTCTCTGGAAACCACAGCATGGTTCTCTGGTTCATAAATCCCGAGTCCAGGGCTCTTATTATACCTCAGGAAGCTGCCTCCAACATGGTTGTCCCATCACCATCACCAAGCAGGTTATTTTTTACCAACATATATTAAACATTTATTTTACTAAGATGTAGCTTTCCACATCTTAAAGCATGCAAACAAAATATAAGCACTTCTTGTTTTTGTTAGTATCTTGTACATCAAAAGCTTCCTACTGATTTCAAGTTATTTCACTGCCTTTAATAAAAGAGAACACTATATTGCTGAGCAAACTTTTGCTCAGCACCTACTGTGTGTCAGGCACATAAAAACAAGTGGCACAGATCTGTCATCAAGAAGCCTGTGCTACACGTTGGAGAAGGACATGCATACAAATCAGGGCCCCTAAAAACAAAGTGTGCTCTTCTTTGGATTCCAGCAGCTGCTACCAAATCTAATTTGAGGGTAGTCGTCTTGGAGTGAAAACACTGATTGACAAAAGCCCCCTTCCCTTTTTTCTGGAATAGTGTCTCGTTTCCACTAGCTTCTTCCTCCACCCCTTGCACCAGAGATCAGTTGTGACATTTAGATTTGAAATTCCAACTAAGTATCTAAATATACTGTAGTGTGGCCTCTTTGGTTCTGTGTGGTCTCCAACAAATGATCCTTCAAAACCACCAAAAGAAAGTACCCAAAAAGGGATCCTCCTCCACTGAAGAACAACCCCATTTGTATTCAAATCATACGTGCATATTCTTACAAGAGGAAACTATTAATATGTCTTCAGCTGAAAGCTCTGAGGTACTTGGAGCAGCTGTAGGAAATACTGTGTGCCACATGCAAAGTCCCAGTGGCAAAGGCCTCAGAAGCAAAATCAAAAGGAAGCTAACACTATTGAGGACCTATCATGGCCCAGGAACCACACTACATACATGTGTTAGTTTTTCTTTCCTTCTTTCATTCAGTTTTATACTTTAAAGTATCTCATATGCATATGATATCCTTTCTATTGAGAATGAATTTGGAAATGATTAGAACAAGGAGATACTCAAGCTATAATCACAGGAAAGCTATTCCTTTAAATTCCCATACACACACGCATTCTGAAAGCACCCACCATATTCCAGGTGATACGGCATTGAAGGAGACACATGGACGTGAACACTACTGGTTCTTAAAAACACAAGGTGGGTGTGAAGGATCCTAAGTACTCTGGTAAATTTTGCCTTGTAAACACATTCTTGTATTCAAAATTAAACAACTGACAAAAGTGGATGCTGGCATGAGGAGGAGCCCTGGAAGAAGTTAAGAACACAGTAGGAGGACTTAATTCACCCACTTGGCAAACTCTCCCAGAGAGCCCAGAGCCCTGGCCACTGATTTACATTCTTCTCAGCTGCATACTTGCCTGTGTCTATTAGACTATTAAAATATTAATAGGGTCTTGGTTTCTGTCACTATTAATTTTGGAAAGGAATAAGGACATGCCAAGCCATAGTATTGATAAATTTGCGGAATATGTTAATCTTAACATTCATTACTCAGCTAAACTACCATTTTTTTCAGATGGTTTTTCTCCACTAATCATTTTTTATATTTAACAATTTTTCATTTCCAACAAAGCAGTTCCTTAGAAATCTACTTACGTATGTACTTTTATAATGTTTTTACAGCAATAATTTATCCAACAATTGTTATACTCCATTACATAATGACCAAGTTTTCTGATAAATATATAGAATTAAGCCGAGAAATGAGTAGGAATAAAAATAATATTTTCAAGGTTTTAATTTTTAATTTATGTTATTGATTGGTTCATTGGTTGGTGGGTTTTATTATGGAAAAGTCAGCAAGGTCCAAGGCCCACTCTTCAGGCCACGAGAGAACGACAGAAAAGTTTCCCTCCGGGCTCCGTCACTAAGCTTCTGACACCAGTACCTTCCCTTCAGGGCTTCTAGAAATTAGCAACTTTCTGTTTGCAATGCCTACAACAGACCAGAGAGAACTAAACTATCTTTGAAAGCACATACCAAGACATGTGGTTTGATTGGTGTGGGGAGTTGCCTTTAGACTGAGAAAGTTGAAGTCAAAAGTTAAATAACTTCCCATGAACATGTAGCAAGAATTGACACACATGAAGGCTAATCTTTTCTAATTTGAGAACCTTGAAATGTGCCAAATTTAGATTTGGGGTATATATTTAACAAAGGCAAGCTCAGATATTACCCTTGGCAGTGTGTAAGATTCAAATATAATTGGAAAGGTAACTAACAGGAATTTTTGCTGTCACCTAAAACTTCAACACAAGTTATATACAGAAGAGCAACAGATGCAGTCGTTGGAATGTGCCCATGCATTTCCGAGGTTGATGATTCTTGCCCTCCTTGACAGGAGTGCCATACCTCTACTGCCTCCCAGTCTTCGAGTACTCCTCGGACTGTTTCCCACCGTGATTCCCAAGAGATCAGCACTTCATAAATCCAACATGGGAGGGTGGTAACAAAACGTTCAAGCCACAGTCTTAAATTAGGAAGGCTTATTCTGCACGCAATTACATTAGTACTATGCATACAACAGTACTCAAGAAGAATCAATGTTCAGACCAGACTTCAGATGGCTCTATCACGACTGGCTGCACCATCTTTTAACCTTCAAGAAGAAGGTTCTGATGAAAGGATGAGGGATGAAAGTGCAAACAGAAAATAATTCGGCTGATTGCCTTATCGCTATCACTATTTATGTAATACGTCTTAATGTGTCTTCAAGCAGTAATGGAAATGTTTTCAATTTGGAAACTGAAATTGCCTCAGTAGCATTTTACCTAAGTTGCCTACCGTAACTCAGACAGTAATATGTCTTTCTTTTTAACATGGCCAGCACTGCTCTTCATGGCCCAGACTACAAAATGACAAGTTAAAACAATAACACAGGCTTTTTTGATTGTCCCTGTTAGGCTAAACAACTAAAATGCAAAAACAAAACAAAAAACCACTGGGAAAGGCATTTTCAACTTTCAATATTGTGCAATTCATGTTTAAATTTATCATCTAGATTTCACCGCATGACCTTGAAGAAGCTCAATATTTCAATAGTAAAATGTAAATCCCAGTCCATCTCCCCAAAGCATTCAGTGATGAATTATGTGAAGGGAAACATTATACAAAATAGAATGCTCCGATACAGGATTGTGTAATTAACCCATGATTTTCCACAAACTCCTTTGTACTTTCTACTTGGGTCATTAGATATCTTTGAAAATCAGTTATTTTTCCAACGTTGGTTTTCAGAATATAACTGAACATTTCCGGGCTGAATGAAATCATCCCTTGTGGATTAATTTTATTATTTGGTAATCAGTGATTAATCCATGTTACTGCAAGGTAGGAAGTGTAAAGTACAAAAAAGCGTTGACAGCATTGGTATCCTAAAACTTGTATTTTTTCATTTAATTCCCAGCACAAACACTCTCTCTTAGGATTGACTGCTTCCTCTAAAAGCCTAAATGAAGAGATGGCAGGGCTGACTGAGTGTGGTGTGGCTGAAAAGATAAAGAACATGGCTAGCAAGACTCAGCTGGCATTTGTCCCATTAGAGACTGAACTACTGATATTCTTCAGGTCAACCTTTTACATATTATTACTACTGCATATGTGTTGGGAACCTTTTTGAAGACTGGGTCTGGTTCTTTTTGTCTCAACCTTACTAACTTCGCCAAAATAATACTATTGGGTCAGGCTAAGGACTGAATTGTATCACCTAAAAATACATTTGTTAAAGTCTTAACCGCTAATATGATGGTTATTTAGAGATATGACCTTTGGAGAGTAATTAGGTTAGATGAGGTCATGATGGTGGATCCCTTAGGATGAGATTTGTATAATTATAAAGGAGGCATAAAAGAGCTGGCTTGCTCCCAGCACTTACACACAGGAGGATGTCATGTAAGCACACAGCAGGGTGACAGCTGTCTATCTCATCAGAACCAACATGCTGGCACTCTGATGTTGGGCTTCAAGTCCCCAGAACTGTGAAAAAATAAATTTTGTTGCTTAAGCCACCAGGTCAATGGTATTTTGTTATGGCAGGCCACATTAAGGCAAGTGACAGATGTTTTGAGAAACATCATTTTCACAAAAGCAAAGTATTTCTAAATGCAGTGGGCAGTTATTTCATCTCATTCGTGATCATGAAAGTTTCATTTAACACTGCTTGGACAGAGTTCAATGCTTCCACCCTTTGCACAGCAAAGAGCACCATACAATTTGAGGAACAAGAGAGCAAACAGATCCCTTTTTCATAGATGAAGCCACTGGTCCAATTCCCTGCAAGTGATAGCCTACTCCAACTGCGGCAGGCAAGATCAGATGATCCCTGATCCCTCTGAGAAGGAGCTGGGCCCTGCTGTGGGAGGAGCTGCCAACAAGGGGGGAGACTGTGGGTTGTACATGTATCTACTGCAGCCCTTCTGTACCTTGGCCCCGCTCACAAATACAACACTCCACGCCTTCACAGCACCTGGTAAGCTGAGACAATTAAATGAAGACATCACTGGTCTCTAACAAAGAGTAATCTAAGAGAAAAAGAAAGCTGCTAAACTCCACTCTAACACACAGGTTTGTTCAGTTGCTACTTTGTGAAATTTGCTTCTTTCAACTTGGCTCTATCTGGTTTTGTTAGGTTAGGACTCATGCAAGGCTGAGAGGAATAGCTTGGTTTACCAGCCATCCATGGTCAAATGGGAAGGTGTTCCCAGAGAGCAGTTTCCAATAACCTGCCAATCTTCCCTTGCTAGTAAGAAAAATAAGAAGAATAAAAAGTCAATGCCATGCACAGAATATACAGATGGAAATGAAAGCTCTGCCTACTGCTGGGATATTTTTTTTAATAAAACTGATTTGAGTTTAATAAAACTGATCAATTTGAGATAACTGCTGAGATAAGCTTTTACTTTTAGATACATCATTTGTTTTTGTTGCCAGGCTCAAAAGGAACATTGCCAGTGTTTTTCCAGTGGCATGGACAGTTCTAGAAGAGTTAAAAAAAGAAACCCTACCTGCTTAATCTGCCAGAAAACATTTGAGAGGAGCAATCAGCTCTGAGAAGAGTTGCTCTGAATGAGGTATGCCCGGCTGCTTCGGGCCATGCGCTTTGTCAGTCTTTCAAAATTCAAGTCATTACCAGATGCTGATCTACTATAATATTGTGATATTTTATCTGATTACACTTACCTGATTGTGCCTTATCTGCTATTTGCCTTCCCATTCTTCCATGTATATTAAATGCAGGTGCTTTTATTATTCTGTCAGCTCAAAAGTGTTGACTGTTCTGAATATAAATGGGGATATTATATCATTAACTTGCTCCAAAAGCAGGGCCATTCACTGTGTAAATCACATGCCAGGTACCTGGTGGAGACACAATAAACCATGATGTCTTGAGAAAGAAAGTAATAAGGAATGGATAAGGAGATAAAATTTTAAGGCATTGTTAAAGAAGGGTAATCTTCAAAATCCTATTTCAAACTGGCATTTGTTGATAATATAACCTTTATATTAGAAACTTTTTAAATTCATAAAAAATCTTTTGAGGGAGCTAGACAATATGGGATGCTATCCCTAGTAGGACCACACTAATACTCTTTGGCTTGTCTAATGTAAAGAACATTCTGAAGGGAGCAGTCTAATCTTTTAGAGGAGTATTCTTTGCTTTGGCAAGTATGTTCTTACCCTTCCCAAGTGTACTGTTCAAGCAAGGTGAACAAATGGCCGAATGTTCAGTACTTGCAGATGTTTAAAGGTGAATAATTTAAAAACTGGTTGGAAATTTCAAAGGAAGTGATACGTAGTGAATGAAGGCAGAACCATGACAATGTGCAGCTGCCCGACAGTCTGGAGTCACACGCTCTGCTTAGCTTCCGCTGCGCTGGCCTCACTAAAAGTTAATCCACAGCTATTTAAGTGGAAAGTTTCAAGAAATCCATTTTCAGAGCAAATGTTATATGAGAGTTTAAATGAGCCACTGCCCTCGGTTGGATGGAATATCAGATGGGCTGCTCATTCACCAGTGTATCAGACTCCTCCACTGATGTCGTGGCTGGGATCCAAGTCTCAGGAAGGGACACGAGTTACAGTCACGAGTCATCTTCCGTCAGATCCGAAGGTATGAGGCTGAAGAGGGCACACAGGGGAGCAACCAGGAACATGAAGTGGGGCAGCCATGGAAGGCACTGGCTCTGCTCTCCTTTCCTCTTGGCTTCCCTGTGTGAGAGCCTGCTACGCAGGCGGGGTACCACCCCTTGCTCCCCCCTCTCACCTCACACAGAAATGCATGGAACTGTCTGCTTCTGCCTCCTCCACCTGACCAATGTGTATTTTTCTGAGATTGCTATTGTATCAGAGGAATCTTGATTCCTCTTATCTTTATGCTTAGGAGAAGGAGGGGAAGGGACGGGAGAGAGAAAAGAGATAAGCCACAGATTTGGATGACACATTGGCAAAACATGTATCTCAAAAGGACTGTATCCAAGATATGTATAGAACAGTGACAATACAGCAATGCAAACACAAACAACCCAATTAAAAATGGGCAAAAGATTTAGTCAGAAACAAATAGAGAGCCAGGTGTGGTGGTGCACTCTGGAAGGCTCAGGCAGAAGGAGCACAAATTTAAGCCCAGCCCAGGCAATTTAGAAAGTCAGTGAGACCCTTCACCTCATTAAAAAAAAAAAAAAAATAGAGGGGAATGGGAATGTAGCTCCATGTGAAGATCCTAGGTTCAGCCCCTGGACTGCAGAATAAGTGAATGAATGAATGAATGAATGAATGAATGAATGAATGAATGAATAAGCATGCGCACATGGCCAACGAGCACACGAAAAAGTGCTAAGCGTCATGCATCATTGCTGTGCTTCACATCTGATGTCCCTCCAAAGTCGTGTGTGTTTAACAGGGGGACTTCTGAAGGGTGACTGAGTCATGGGGCACTGGAGAAGAACGTGATGCCGGGTGAGGTCTGCTCAGAAGAGGCAGGTCACTGCAAGTATGGCCTGGTAGGGGTATCTCACCTCTAGGCTCCTCCACTCACTCTGCTTCCTGTTCGCCAGGATGTCAGCAGCTTTTCTTCTGCTGTACCTCTCTGCCCTGCTTGCCTGCCATGGAGCCAGCAAACTACAGGCTGAAAACATGGGCTAAAATAAACTCTTCTCCTTCAAGTGTTAGGCATTGTGTTCCAGGACAAAAAGAGCAACTAAGACAATCATCCAGGAAAGGCAACCAACAGCAGAAGGAATAGCCATCACAGTCACCAGAGTGACTACAGCTACGGACACCATTAAGTTTTGTGTGTGGTGGCAGAGCATGTGGCACTGACAGTTTGGGGGGAAAGGTAGCCATCAAAACAGTCTGACGGTTTCTTCTAAAAGGAAACGTGCTATCAATAACATCACCGAAAGTGGGTACTAACTCGAGATAAATGAAACATGTTCACAAAAGACTTGAGCAACAGAATTTACTGTCACTTTATTCAGATGGCCAAGACTAGAAACCATCCCAGTGTCCATCCACAGATAAAATGTGATAACCAATAAAATAAGCAACAGAGAAAGAACAAGATACTGACACATGAGACAAATGTTTGTTAGGATAAATCTCACAAACACTCTGCAAAGTGACAGAAGTCTTCCCCAAGAGGATAATTGCATGTGTTCATTTACAATGACGCTAAAACATTTAAAACTAAGAGTGGAAAAAAATCCAAAAAAGGCTTGCCACTGGGGTTTGGGGAGGAATTCACTAGCAAGGAGAACCAGAAAACTTTCTGCATTCTGTGTCTTAATACCTGCATACTTCTTTATGTAACTCAGTGAATAACATTCTTGACATAATATTTTTTAAAAAACTAGTTAAGATACTTATACCACTGATTTCTCTGAGTTGTCTGCAGAGAAAGATTTGTGCTGGTACTTTTGGACAACTGAAGGCAGATGTCCTGTGCTCTGGGGGAATGATTGGGGATGACCACGAGAAACAATGGTACGTACATACATTGCTGCCCCTGACTGATGTACTTTAAAACTTTGTTGTAGCTTTTTTCTTCTTCCTTTCTATCTATGAATAAAATGCATTTGAAAAAAAAATTATTTTACATTTTTTAAAAACATTTTTGACTTAGTTTATTTCAATATAAACTTTACATCATAAAGTAAACAAATATGGAACTCGAAGTAGCAACGTGTATCTAAAATATTTAAGGAAACTAGCGTTTTCAATTCACTTTGTAATGTATCAAAAGTAATAAGATGAATTAATGGATAGATATATAACAAACCAAGTATAATAAAATGTTAATGACAGAATCTAAAAGTTCTGGTATAGGGGTATTCACCACAAAATTTTTACAGTTTTGCTACATACTTGAAATTTTCCATAATAAAATGTTATGAATAATTAACAAAATGAATATTAAGTGACTATATATAGTAGTAAATTTTCTGTTTGGTCATCTTAGAAGTTTTTACTTACAACTGCAGCAAAGACTTAATTGTTTAGTTCTTAGAAACACCTCCAACAAGCTGAAACTTACTAAGCTCCACAAAAGTAAGGATGCTTGCCTTTGGATATGATTAGAAGTATATGGCTTAGAACAGGTGATAAATATTTGTGGAATTTACTTTTTCCACACATAATTTTTTAATCCATTTTATTTCAAAGAGAAAAAATAAAACAAAATTTCAAAACACATCAGTCAGGGCAACAATGGTACATACAATGCTCTTGTCTTCCTAAACCATGCTCCCAGAGCACAAGGCATCTTCAATCAATTGTCCGAACAATATCAGCACAAATCTTGCTCTTCAATGAACTCAGAGAAATTAGAAGTATAACTATCTTAATTATCAATATATATCATATATTGTTTCTTTCAGCTTCTCGCACTAGTGAGACAATATGATGTTTACACATGAGTCTGATTTATTTCACTTATGAGTATGGTCTCAAGTTGTATCCATTTACCTACAAAAGCCTCCAGTTTATCCTTCTTTATGGTTGAGTAGGACTCCACTGTATTAAAATACATCTTTTTTATCCATTCCTCAGTCAATAGGTATTTAGGTTGTTTCCAAGATTTAGCAATTACAAATTGTGCTCCTACAAACATGGGTGTACATATATCACTGTGGCATGATGTTTTCAATTCTTCTAGGAAAATACACAGAAGTGGAATAGCTGGATTGAATGGGGACTCCACTCCTAGTATTTTTTAGGAATCCTCACACTGATTTTTACAGTGGCTGTAGCAGTCTACACTCCCACCAATAGTGGAAAGACTTGCTTTTTCCCCCACAGCCTCACCAGCACTTATTATTGATTGATTTCTTGATAATAGCCATTCTTTCTGGGGTGAGGTGGAATCTCAATGTTGTTCTAATTTGCATCTCTTAAATGATCAGTGATATGGAACATTTTTTCACATTTGATGATTTGATGATTGTATTTCTTCATTTGAGAAGTATATATTCACCTCAGATGCCTATTTTTGGATTGGGTCTTTAAGGAATTTTTTGTTTGTTTGTTTGTTAGTTCTTTATATGTGCTCAATAGTAATCCCTTGAGGAACAGCTGGCAAACATTTTCTCCCACAGTGTGGGTTGTCTCTTCACTTTCTTGGTGGGTTTTCTTGCTGTGCAAAAGCTTTTCAATAGGATGAGATCCCTAGTTGTTGATTCTTTGTGATAGTTCCTGTACAACTGGGGTTTTGTTTATAAAATCTTTGCCTACACCAATGTCTTCAAGAGTTTTACCAATTCTATCTTCCATCATATTTAATGCTTCTGTTTTAATATTAAGATCTTTGATCCATTATGAATTTCATTCAGTGCATGGTTTCACACATAATTCATAATCAGACTAATTCAATGTTTTCAGAAAATGAAATACAACAAAAGCAATACAAATGTCTTCTACCAGTCAGCATGTGACCAAAGTAGCATTAAGCTAAACATAGATGGTTCAGACACACTATATAATCTATGTAACTCAATGGATTTCAAAAACATTATAGTATATAATAACATATAATTCCACTAATTCATGTAGTTCATTGATCACAAACTTAGTTGGGCATCAAAATTATTTGCATTTTCTAAAAAAACAGGTTTCTAGATCAGAGATTATGATTCAGCAGTTCCATTTGTTAGTCTTTAAAGGACCCTCACATAATT